AATTCTTTTCTTCCTCTCAATTCCTTCTGACAGAATTTTATTCCACTAGGAGCACAGAAGAACAGAACGGTACGAGTTTCAGCAATTTTAGAGCCTGTGAAAGTTAAAATGATGGCGGAACTATGCAGCATTCAACAGCAGTCTTACCATTCCCATTAATGTCTGGGCAAAACTTGGACTGTCCAAGGAGGGGTGGTGGAGGAAAGAAGTGATTAAAATTGAATACCTCTTTGTGCCCTTCCATAAAAAAACAAAATTTACTATCTGAACAGCCATGAATGCGTACAAGGGACTCGTTTGATTGTTTATGAAGATAGGCTTGCCTAGTGATAGTTGAAAACACTGGTAAAACAATTGCTGGAAATGGAATTTAAGTTATCAGCTTAGTAGTTTGGCTGCAGAGAAAGAGCACCAGATGATGATTCTATTAACACATTTTGTAATAGTGTGCTATGTAGCAATATCCTGTTTTATAGCAACAAAGGTTTAGGTACAGTTATGAAGAGTGGACGAACTCCCTTAATTGCAAATTAGTTACTGACTCTAGCAGTGAGTTTGCTAATTCTACAGCTAAAATAAGCTATTTATTTCCTGTTGAGCTTGCAGCTATTTATTAAATATTTCCACAGTGGCAATGTGCCCGGTTTATCCCAGTCACGGTTACCCCCACCACCACTGTGCCAGCCACTATATAAACACAAAAAGGTGGACAAGGTCCCTGACCCAAAAAACTTACAACCCAAGGCCTTGATTATGCAAAAACATATGCAGGTCAGTCAATGGGACTGCTCACAGTGTACAAAGTCAAGCAGGTGCACAAGTCTCTGTAAGATCCGTGGCCTTTGATGACAAGCAACACGAAGAGGTGGGGAAGATGGAGACCATTAACTAGATGCATTTTCAAGCAGCCATTAATATATGTTTATAGTCATGTATACATTTTTTTTTTATAATCATGAAAAGAGATTGACTTTCTCCAACTGCCCCTCAGTCCAGCAGTCGCAGATTGGCTGATTTCTTGTAGTCAGTGTTGGCAGTGGGTCTTGAGGAGGAGCTTGAAGGTAGTACTAGGGATCAATGTAGGCAAGGTGCATCATAGAACAGGTGATGATCCAGGAGCTAGAGAGAAGACATTTGTTGGAGTGACAGACAGGTGGGCAGGGCAGGTCTGGCAGCAGTGGCAGAACTGATGAAACAAGGAAGGCAGACAAATGTTTGAAAGGGGCAGAGTTGTCAATGGGATCCAAGGTTAGGACAAGAAGCTTGAACTTGAAAGGAAGCACTAAATCTAGTGTCTGGATTCTTTGCCTAATTAGTTGGTGTCAGGTTAATCTTTTGTAACACAATTAGTTTCTTTACAGAGGAATAAATTTGTGGCTTTCAAGGAAACTTCCAAGGTTTTCAGGTATTTTTTTAAATCCATGTTGTTCAGTTGGGTATAGAAAATCTTTACTATGCACATATTTATTAGGCCAGACACAGCTGACTTAAGCCTGGTCTATGCTAGGAAATTAGGTTGGTGTAACTATGTAACTCAGGGTGTGAAAAATTCACAACTCTGAGAGATGCAATTAAGCCAACTAACCCCTGGGGTAGACAGCGCTAGGTCAATGGGAGAATTCTGTACTGCCTCTTGGGGAGGTGGAGTGCCTACACTGATGGGAGGAGAACTCCTGTCAGTCTAGGTAGCGTCTTCACTGAAGTGCTACAGCAGCACCACTGCCGTGTTTTGCGTGTAGACACGCCCTTACACTCACATGGGTTCCAAAATGGATCCACTGCCCAATTTCTTTTTTTTTTTAAGTGAATGATCCTGCACATCAGGGTGCCCGATTTCAGAGGGTAGGTGCTCAGCATGTTATGAAAAACAGGTCCCCAGAAGGTGTCTCCAGTTGGGCTCCCAAAAATTGACGGCAACCAAAAATTGCTAGTCACTTTTGAAAATTCAGGCCATCTTCTTTACAACCTATGATCAAAACTCAAATTATTGCAGGTACTCAGGCATAATTTTCACTAAGTGTCCACTTCACCTGATGCTTGTGCTGGATTCCACAGTTACAAGGTTTGTATAACAGGATGGCTGTTTGCCTCAAAGGCCCTCCCTACCTAGTAGGTGGTGATGATGATGGAAAATGTTAAAGTATGGTTTTCTGATTCAATCTTTGCAGGTGGCTCATTAACTGCTAGCAGAGGCAGATGTCGCTAACAGAGGATCAAGGGTGTGGGCTGAACAGCCCTTGAGAGGAAACACCAGGAATAGACAAGCATGGGCTTGACCTGGATTTTGTCTCATTGAATTTGGAGTTCTTTGTGAATAAAAATAACCGTTGCATCGACTGCATTTGGAGCACAGTGGGGAAGACACCTGTTCATAATTATCTTGAACACATCTTCCCAAAAGAAAAGGCATTGCAAATTCAGACTATACTGAATATCTTAATATCCATTAAGAAGGCTGACATACCTTTTATCTAGTCGATTCCCCTTCTGAATTGCACCTGCATTGCTAAATATGGAGGGAGACCCCCAGATAATATCCTTAGCAGTTTCCATAACTCCAATCTCACCTCAAATGTGTTGTCTCCCTATGCAGCATCATTTTAGCCACTGTTCTAAAAGAGTTCTTGGACAAAGAAAGCAGACAGACCGGCATCACAGTCAGAGCTAAAGTGGCAAGAGAGGGAGGCAAAAAGATGAGACAAAGACAATAAGTGGAGTGGTGAAGGGAAATGTGCATACATATCCAAGAAAGAATTTGTCCCTACCTCTTTTGTATTTTTGAAGTGTAACATGATCTTCAGAGATTAGCACCAATATTTCACACACTCTCTCTCACTTACATGCACTTCAGAAAGCCTTTAAAACCCCCTTTAAAAAAAGTTTCCACAACAAGAGAGGCTTAGAACATGTATAATATGTTACCGTGCCCCTAAATAAACTTTTATCATTAAGGCCTGTGGGTAAATGCATTCAATGCACAGAATACAGTTTTGCTTTGGACATTATCTGGAAAAGGCTGAAGAGACACATGGTAACCTCTGTTGTCTTAACCATCTTGACAGCATTACCAATGAATAGCAGTAGATGAGTAAGAATGGAACACAGTTGTTCAGGAAAGTCCAGAGAATGGGTCAAGGAGAGGTTACCAGAATGAAGGGAGAAAAGAAAAATGAAGTTCAGACAGCTTAGTTTTGTCTGACCTACCCAAACAACACAAGCAGAACAAACCAATTTCAAAATCAGTGTCAAAAGCCAGAGGATGAAATGTTGGTTCTCAGAAGATTCAAACTCTCTAGTTTTTGTACCTGTAAAAAGCATGAGTGGTTTTCTGTTGATGCATTACAATATAAATACAAACAAAACTAGTCAACGTTAGGCAGTGGAGGAACCAAGAAACTCAGGAGAACTCAGGTTCTTTGTTCCAGGAAAAAATTCCTTATGGCACAAAGCAGCCCCAAAACAGTTTCTTTCCTCATGCCTGATACATGTGGCAACCATTTTAAAGGCCACGTTCAAATTTCTGCCATCATGGTTCTGATTTTTTGTTACTGATCTAGCTATCTCCTTGTTGTGACAGTGCATTGAAAAGCATTTGCGTTGGCTTGACATCCCCTAAAAGGAAAATGCTAAGACAAACTATGCAGGTTAAAATGTTAAACTTTAAGTGTGCTACATTCACAGATCTTCATACGCATGCCATGTTTACAGAACTATAAAAAGGGTCTTTTCCTCACTGAAGTACTGGCAGCAGAACGCACGCTGCTGGAAAAGAAAAGGTGGGCATTTGGTGGCATATACTGTGCAAGCAGTGTAATGGGACTCACGAGGGAGAAAAAAAATCTATAATTTGCAAGTCCAATTTCAAAGTCATATCTAGGATAATGTGAAACTCAGGGTAGGAATCTTTAAAAAAAATCTTCTTGGAAAATGTACATGTGTTCCTCAGGGAATCAAAGGGATTTACCTCTCTGCTTTGCTAGGCTGTTCTGCCTTTTTGACATTTTGATGTTGTTTACTGTTCAAATCTAATTCTGGAATTATTGAGTGGTTCACTTCAAGGGTGTATTTTTGACTAACATTCAGACAGCTCTCCTAAGCCATGGCCCAGGAGTTGCTAAGCTCCTCAGCATCAGTGCTGGCACTTTTAAATTTGTTTATTTTTGTGGGGGATGTTGGGATGTGTTTTACTTTTACCATAAAGGCTCAGTTCTGCTCTCAATTATGGGGATACAACTCCCACTGAATTCACCAGTTTTACTGAAGGAAAAAACGGGCCCTAAATTTGTTTGTGGAGCTATATTTACTGTTTGCATGTTTTAGAATTATAAAAAGCAGAGAAGGAAAAGCTCCAATCAGGACATTTAATCCAATACACCAGCCAATGCAGAATTTCTTACTGCAAGCTACAGATAGAGTTGTCTCCTACTGTGGCCTGTAATATTGAGCTTTTTGGTAACTAACATGAATAATTCCTTTGATGCTTGCAATGCATTTACCTTAAATAGGCAGATGAAGTTTACCCATAAATAAGACTTTTATTCTATAAACTATGATGTGCCAGTTTCCCTTTAGCATAGTTCAGATCACTCTGCTATATAAATCCTTAGTAAAATTATATTTTTCAGTCTGATTAGTAAAATTTTATAGGCCTATCATGTCAATAAGTCCACTGCTGTTGACGGACATAGGGTGAGAACACTGGGATAGGGCAGGAAAGTTATGATGACAGTTCAGACTCCTTGTTTCTAAAGCCATTGCTGAGGGCTACGTTTCGCGATGAAGAAGACTACAATCAATACTCGGTAACTTCTGAAACAATGACAAGGCATTTTAGGAATTATATTGATATTGCTCAGTCTAAAAGAAAACACATACAGACAAATTAAATAGGGCATACATTATACAAGAGTATACCATTAATTTTTAAAAAATAATAGTTTATCCTGGGAAGACCAGAATTATGGCTTTTGCCTACAAGCATAATCAAACATGGTAAAAAAGACACATAACATAGACTTTATTATTATTATACATGTTAAAAATGCAACCACATCAAAATAGAATACACAGTTAAAAAACTGTTGCAGATGACATAAGAAAATAGTGTGTATATATTTTATATATAAAAATCTACAGTATTTACTAGTGTTGATACATATTTTGGAGCAGTCCCAGGCTGCTAGCACAAAGTAAATTGTACAGCTTTATTTATTATGAATCACAGAACCATGGTTAAAACTTTGGGATTATTACACTTAACCACATTATATACATACATTGCTAAGCTGCTATAAGCAATCGGAACTAAGGTAAGCCCAAGTAATATTCATCATCTCAATTTCAGTTTAGAGTTTTTCAGTGTAGTGCTTAGCTACTGTTACTTCACTGCAGTTTGCAATCTTTAAAATATAAAACTGCCCAGTTCATTAAAAATTACACCGCTCATTATATACACAAAAGAAGTGTGTGAAATATACTCAACGTTACTTCCATGTTTTAAAAAAAAACATTTTACTTTTGTACCTTAAAACCTAGACAGCTAACCTGCAGCAAGAATAGGCACTACTGCTCCTTCTTTAACAGAATTTTTTTTCTGTTTTCTAGTGTTCAATGTACTTAGCTAACGCACCCCAAGAAAATGCAAATGACAAAAACCTCCCCAAACAAAGACTGATTTTTAAGCGTCCCAGAACCTACCAGTGTTTTGGTATTTAAGTATTATAAATCTTTTCTGTTAAAAGCTCTAAGGACTCAGTCTTGCAAGAGGCTTGTCACCCTCAGCTCTCATTAACTTCAATGAGAGTTCAGAGTGCTTAGTAATTCCTACATTCAGCAGCTCACAAGCCTGCACCCCAAGTACGCCACTTAATCTGCAATTTTTTTCTTTTCACAGTGGATGAAAGCCAAGGAGAATGTAGAGTACAAAAGGCTGCAAACACTAATTTTAAAAAAAATATTTAATGACAAAGAGTCTATTAAGCTTCTTATTAACAGTCAGGGTTGCACATCGCACAATCTCTCAATGGCCTGACAGTGCAGCAGCACTTGCCCAACCCTGGACATGAACCTATTGCTTTCTGGAAAAAGGAGGGCAAAAGCAAAATGTCATTGAACGGACATTATCGAGCTCATGGGAAAGAGCACTGAATGCATGCATATAGCACTAGGTTTGCCAATTATGGTTGGATGTATTCCTGGAGGTTTCATCACATGACAATCTTTAATTGAAGATTCATCTTTAACTCCTGGAGACTCCATGGCAATCCTGGAGGGTTGGCAACCCTACGCCATACACAGAGGGTCAAAATAGCTACACAACCTCCATATTCTGCCCCCAAGTTTCAAGTGACGGGCAATACTCTTGTACCAATAAGAGGACTATTTGGCAATCCAGTAGCTCACACTATGACTGGTTTGCTAAGTTAGATCCCATGGGAAGGCTGCATGCCATGAGAATGCAGTTCTGTTTCTGCTTCTAGCATTGTATACGTTGTGCTCAAATAGTTCAGAGGACTTAAATGGGAACACAAAGCATTGCTTTGCAACATTGGATTTGGGTACAAAGGTACAGATTCCGTGCTGAAAGTTCACCCATACCCTAAAGACTTGCTACGCTCAGACTGCCCTGATTTTAAGCACCATTTGTCAGCCAGAACAGAGTGACACCCTTTTTGGCTCCATGGTTTTGCTTGTCTGTTCCTTCTGGCTGAGGGAAAGGCAAGATAGCAGCCAAAGGAATGGAGATTAACTGGGAAATAGCATCCCATGTAAGATTACATTAACAACCCAGAGCATCTCTTCAACTTCAATCAGATCCTGGGTTACTGAAGCAGTTTGTATACAAAGACAGGGAAGGCCATCCAAAATGAATGGGTCATTTATCAAATAAATTACAAAGAAAATAATTAAACTGAAATAAAAGTACTTCACTAACCTAGCTCAAGAGTAAATGCATCTACATTTTAGACTCTTTAGTTCTTCTCCATGTACATGGTTGTGTATTTGCACAAGCACACTTACTGCATTCTAATGTCAGTCAAAATACAGCTTGCAAATGTGTTACAGTTGCTAGGCAGAAATATCATAGCTCTGTGCAAATTATTTAAATTTCAGAAACATGGTAGTGTTAGACACATTTTGCAGACGACTCTACTATTGCTATGTTTATGTGCATCAGATCCCTTTCAATAGGTTCAATGCAAGTTTAAAAGCTCAACTACCTTTCAGCCAAAGTTTAAAACTGCTTTGAAATAATGTTATTACTTTATCAGAGAATTGCATGAACTGCCCACATTCTGTATAAAATACTGACTTGGACAATTATAAACACAGCAATATATATCTAATGTTTTCAGCTCTTGCTTTTTAGTTAGCATTGATTGATTCTCACAGAAGCACTGATTCATGCATAGACATCCCATCATTTTGGTTTCTGTAGTGCTGAGCAGGGGCTGGTGGGCCTGAATATTGATATTGTGCTGAACCATGTTCTTCCAAGGTTGGTGAAGTCCTATATCTTATTGGACTATCCACAGAAACATTTGGAAGATTATGGTCCTGAACAGGTGTTGGCTGAAAGGCTGGATACTTCTGTAAGTTACCCAAGTGGCTTTGGTTAGCATCTTGGTTCCAGGGCTGCCCATGTATCTCATGTCTATACATATAAACAGCATCCGGCCTCTTTCTGTTGTCTGGCAAATAATCCACTGGAGGAATTATAAATTTGACACCTGCAGGTGATCTAGAGTTGCCAGGATAGGCATCAACAGGTAAGACTTCTATTCGACTAGAAGGTGGAGAAATAGGATTTTGGCGATTGGCAGGATAGGAGTTCATATGTGGTATATCTGGAGAAAAATCTGTTGAAAAGATAGAACCATACGGTCTACCAGAAGTGTTGGTTCGATTCCCATGATTATACTGTGAAGGTATAAAACTTGCACTAATTGGGCTGGAGGCATGCTTTGGAGTGTTTCCATGGTACATAGGTGGGTTACTATAAGATGGTGGTGGTTGTTTAACACTTGGTCTGTGATCTGACCCATCAGACTGAGATGAATATCTTGGGCTTCTCGGTTGGGAACTGATGGCATAATTGTTGGATATTTTTAGTGGGCCAGGAATTTTTGCACCTTGCTTTCTAGGACTGCTAGAGTATGTTACATTCCTGGGAATTTGCGGATGAGCTCTTTCTAGCATCTCCTCAACAGGATTCTCATTCTCATGGTCAACACCTGGAATATTGTCATACTGCGATGCGTTAGACCCTCGCTTACCTTCATCAGCATCCAAACCCCTCATCTTTTGCTTTACATTCAATGGCTGTGGTTCACCAGGACTTGGTGGCGTACCTGACATAGCATGGTTTACTGACCTACCTTTTATCTCCACAGTAAGTTTTGTAGTCTTTTCAATAACTTTGATATCTGAAGGTTTATTCCATTTAGGTACAAATTCCCTTCTTGTATCTGAAGTAGCATTAGAATTTTGGTTAGCAGCTGCATTGTTATATTGTCTAGAATTGTCTTGTACTGTTGACTGAGGCTTTTTTCTGATATCTACGTCTTTCTTAGATAGCCCACTCTGGTCTACTGGTCCAGGCTTTTGTCGTTTTAAAGAAGGCTTCCTTTCCAGTAAATTCATTCTTCTTCGGTTATTTGGTGAATTTTCTTGTACTTTTTCAGGAGAGAGTCTCCTTTCTGTCCTCCTTGCTGTCTGTGTTCTTGAACTACTTGCGTTGCTCTGTCCATTGAGCATATGAGTAAGATTAAGCATGGCAGGCTGAGGTTCCAATGGAATTTGTCCCAACGGCTTCTTTGGAAATTCATCTTCTTTACCTAAAAAAGAAGAAATAAAGTAAACTGAGGCTTCTTGAACTGTGTGTGCCAGTTTAACACACACACAAAGGCACGCACACACACAAACAAAATAAAACAAAATACATAAAAGACAAAGGTCCAGCCAAATTCAACTCTGGATTTAGATCTCAGACCCAAAGTTCAGTTATATTTGGATCTAGGGTTTTTGTTCTGGTCCATATATAATGTACATATTTATGGACATATAAACGTACTTTATATAGCTTTGATAGGAGTTTATCAGCTTTGAAAATCAGGCCACTTGTTTAAGTGCCTAAATATGATTTTAGGTACACTTTGTCTAAATTCCTATCTTTTACAGTTTCAAAGATACTAGTAGAACTAAATATGCACTCAATACTGCATTAATTGCCTCCCTGAGTCTGCAGCAGCTATCCTGCTGCTCAGAGTTTTCCCAAGCACTAGAGTGCAATTAACAAGATCCTGGTCTGTTTTACCACTGTTATATTGAACATTGTGGAAAGAAGTGAAACTGGGATATGTCATGTCATTTTTACATGACTGCTGCTTGGGAAAGCAATTAGCAGTGGAGTACTGGAGTATTCATGGAGGGGACCCTCTTCATCCCCAGAAAAACCTTGTGGGGAGGAGGAGATTAGTGAAGTCCCATTCCACTGAAGCAGTTAAGAGGCTCTGGAGGAAGGGGAAAGAGATAGCGGTTTCTCCCTTCCAAAAGATACATAGAGAAGGAAGACTTCAATTTTATTAGTGACCTTCTACCTTGAGTCCTAACAGGGGTTGAGGGACAAAACCTTGGTAAGAAACCCAGTCCCATCCTCCTTCTCAGCATTTGAAGGTGAGATGCTGGGTTTCTCACAAGGCCATTATCCTTGAGCTCCTACTTCTTCCTTATTAAAATATGCCTATTAGGTTTAGACCACTGGCTTGCAGCTGTCTGGCAAATTTTTGAAGCCCTTTACATCACACTCTCTCTCTCTCTCTCACACACACACACTAACGACCCCGGGAAGTCAGAAATAAATTCAGCATATAAATGCTTGTTTCTTAACTTTGTTAGTATAAGTATGCAATCAGGTGTGCAGTTATGCTAGACAACTATATCATGCAAGGTGAAACACAAGGCCAAGAGACTTCAAAACACAAGAAAAATGGGTACCCAGCGTAGCTATACACCCAAACTATACAAGAGCTTTTATTTTTTAAACATAGATTTTTGTTAAACACTGAACAGTAAGTTCACTAAAATGGACTAATGGTTACATTAGACAAAGCATTTAAGTGTAACTACTGTATCAGCCAATCAGCCTCTTTTCATAAAGTACAGTATAACTAAAAGATTATGCTTACCACCTTCATTTTTTAACTTCCGTTCTTTTTATGGTCATTGTAGTTAGAAGAGAATTTATTTAAATATCTAGGTACTACTACGGTCTCCATCACCACAGAATCTGAATGCCAAATGGGAACACTGATATTTCTGTTCTGACTAAGATGGCAGTGAAAGACAACAACGTTTACTTAAGAGCAGCATATAAGTGGAGAGTTCTTTTTTGGTTATGAGCACCACATATGTCATTCAGTGTTTAAATGTCAGTCTCTTAAGGGGACACAATATTCCAGATTGTAACCTTGTAAAAGACTTAATTATAAACAGAGAAATGATAACTATACAACCTGTCTGATAATGCCTATATGACTATTTATACCAACATTTCTGCTCAAATTACTCTCTCCTTTCAGCAGTCATAGCTATTTCCCCCTTCTAAATTAATACTGGTAAATATTTATTTTATACTGGTAAATATTTAATCTTATTTCTACACCTCATAAAATTGTAGCTTCCCTATGCACAGCAATTTCTTTCATATTATAAACAGAAAAAAGTTTTAATTTTTAAATGCATCTCCCACACAATCTGTTTGAAAATTTGCCTGTAACTTTTAAAAATCAGACAGCATAGCCAAATAAACTCTATCATATATCAGCTTACTAAGTAAAAGGACAGAAAAAAAAGCCCTGGTTTTCCTGAAAATTTATGTAGAAAAGCTATGTAAAATGGTTGGTAGAGAAATAATTTAGTATTTTGATCCTCATTGAGGCAGTAGAGACACAGGACCATGCAACTTTCGTCTATCACTCGAAACTCTGAAGTTAAAGGTTAACATCTTGTCGTCACCAGTTATTTGTACGAACAATTCATTCTGCGTATCTGTATAGTGCATCTGAACAAACACTCGGACATACTTGTCTCTCTAAAATATACTGCTTAGAAGTATTAATCACATCATGGAAATTGTACAAACAATAATACGAGTTAACTCTTTGACAGCTGATTCTCATTAGAGGGGGATGGCAGAAACAGATCATCATTGGATAGCACATAGGAACTGCCATCAAGGATCAGGGCCACATTATGCTAGATTCTGCATAGGCAAATAAAAACAGAATTTACAGTCTAGGTGTCAGGCAGAAGGTGACAGGTTAACAAAACAGAAACATGATGAGGGTGGGAGAGATAAAGTAACAAAATGAGAGTTTAACAGAGAAGTCTCTGTTTGCTACTTGCCTAACTAATGCCAGTTTCATGCTTATTGTATGCTCGTGGTCATTTTCCTTCTGCTCCAAATGAAGTCTACAGTGCTGTGTAAGGTCAAACTTACCCCCTGCCTGAGGTCTTGCTGCACTGGTAATGTAAAACAAACATCAGCCTAAACTTAATCCTTCCAGCCTGACTGTTCTTAAGTTTTCCTGTGTCTATCACTGGTTATACTCTAATCAGAAGGTCTCATAACTTGGCAAAGTTAACAAGCTTCCTGCCACAAAGAGTCAGCAGAATTCACTCAGCTCATTTATGCAGGGTACTAACTCCTGCTAACCTGATAGGTCACAGAAGAGTCCAGCATCCCTATGCAGAGTGGTAGATCGTGCCACTCTTACAGTTATATTTCAAAAGAAGATAAGTGAAACTTTCAAGTTGAAGATTAAGAAAATAAAGTTAAGTTACAATGGTTTTCCCACAAATTTCCAAGACACAGAAAAAAAAAAAAAGAGAGGAAAAATTATGAAGGGGCTAATAGAAAATCCACAAATGTCTTAGAAAACCTGAATCAGCAAGTGCACTCAAATCGCACAGATGACATGATCAGTAAGAAAGAACTGAATGTTATTCTGCATGGTTCTGTTTTTTTTACACAATCCATATAGAGTACATAGAAACTATGATGAAAGGTGCTTTAAGAATGCTGAGAGATTTCTTCATAAAGATGGCTTTCCAAGACAATATACTGAACACTACATCACACAGTTAAAAAACTGTCCCATATTCTTTTTGGGGTGGAATTCACTCCCTACAGAGGCTCTGCAAAACCTTTAAATCATTTATGTCCCACTTATGCCCTCCAACTAGGGTGTATGCAGAACTTAAAACCTTGTGCTTGTCTTCTGCACAGGCATGAATTTCACCCTTAATAAATATTCGCAACACGAGAGCCATATGTCATTAGTTTTTCCCATCTTATTTGTCTCAATTAATTTTTTTAAATTAAGGAGTGCAGCATTTCAGAAAAATGAAGCACTTCTGTGTAATACTAAACTGTATTTTAATGATAAGAATGAAATCTGAATTGCGAAGCAAAAACATACAATATGTCCTTCAAAAAAAAAAGTTTGTGTAACATTAGATAGTGATATATATCACTTATATAGAAGTGATGTCGGTTTTATATGCTGTTAAGTAGTTTGCAACTTTCAGGTGATCTGTAAGGAGTTATGGGTTGTTGTAAGAGCAACAAAGCCCGTTGCCAACTGTGTCCACATATCTATTCAGGGGACACCATCATAGGGCCTAATCACATCAGCCACACTATCAGAGGCTCGTTCACCTGCACATCTACCAATGTGCCATCATGTGCCAGCAATGCCCCTCTGCCATGTACACTGGCCAAACTGGACAGTCTCTACGTAAAAGAATAAATGGACACAAATCAGACGTCAAGAATTATAACATTCAAAAACCAGTCGGAGAACACTTCAATCTCTTTGATCACTCGATTACAGACCTAAAAGTTTCAGAGTAGCAGCCATGTTAGTCCGTATTTGCATAAAGAAAAGGAGGACTTGTGGCACCTTAGAGACTAACAAATTTATTTGAGCATAAGCTTTCGTGAGCTACAGCTCACTTCATCAGACGCATTCAGTGGAAAATACAGTGGGGAGATTTATATACATAGAGAACATGAAACAATGGGTCTTCCCATACACACTGTAACAAGAGTGATCGCTTAAGATAAGCTATTACCAGCAGGAGAGCGGGAGGAAAAAACCTTTTGTAATGATAATCAAGGTGGGCCATTTCCAGCAGTTGACAAGAACTCTGAGGAACAGTGGGGGGGGGGGGGGGGGAAATAAACATGGAGAAATAGTTTTACTTTGTGTAATGACCCATTCACTCCCAGTCTCTATTCAAGCCTAAATTAATTGTATCCAGTTTTTTTGTTGAAGCAACTTTTAGGTCTGTAATCAAGTGACCAAAGAGATTGAAGTGTTCTCCGACTGTTTTTTGAATGTTATAATTCTTGACGTCTGATTTGTGTCCATTTATTCTTTTACGTAGAGACTGTCCAGTTTGACCAATGTACATGGCAGAGGGGCATTGCTGGCACATGATGGCATATATCACATTGGTGGATGTGCAGGTGAACGAGCCTCTGATAGTGTGACTGATGTGATTAGGCCCTATGGTGGTGTCCCCTGAATAGATATGTGAACACAGTTGGCAAAGGGTTTTGTTGCAAGGATAGGTTCCTGGGTTAGTAGTTCTGTTGTGTGGTGTGTGGTAATTTTTCAACAAAAAAACTTCAAAACCAGAATCCAACGAGAGACTGCTGAATTGGAATTAATTTGCAAACTGGATACAATTAACTTAGGCTTGAATAAAGACTGGGAGTGGATGTGTCATTACACAAAGTAAAACTATTTCCCCATGTTTATTCCCCATCCTCCACCCCCGCTGTTCCTCAGACATTCTTGCTAACTGCTGGAAATGGCCCACCTTGATCATCACTACAAAAGGTTTCCTCCCCGCCCCCCACTCTCTTGCTGGTAATAGCTCACCTTACCTGATCACTCTTGTTACAGTGTGTATGGTAACACCCATTGTTTTATGTTGTCTGTGTATATAGATCTCCCCACTGTATTTTCCACTGAATGCATCCGATGAAGTGAGCTGTAGCTCAGAAAAGCTTATGCTCAAATAAATCTGTTAGTCTCTAAGGTGCCACAAGTCCTCCTTTTCTTTTTGCGGATACAGACTAACATGGCTGCTACTCTGAAACCAATAACTATAATGGTGTAATTTTAACACAGATAATTTAATGTGCTTGTATGCAATAAACGTCGTCTTAAGAAAAAATAGTCCTCCTTTGTCAATAATGTCTTCCATGCTTGAAATGTCACTATTCCATCTATTTTTAAACAATAAATAGTTGCATTCATATTTAAATATGCATTCCAGTGTTCTTCCAGTACCTACATCAATGCTTTCTGTATTTGCATATACACAGTTAAAAGCATCAACTGTTTTCCTTTCTCTTACAGTCTTGAAGAAAGTCACATAGAGCAGATTGGAATCCTTTGAAATGTGCTTGGTTGAACAATAAGTTTTTGGTTTTTTTAATTTGACACACTTAAGATCTCTTAATTACCATTAAGCTTTCATAAAACCCAAGCGAGACTATTGCAGACATTTTTTATTGAATTCTACATTGCTTTGAAGATTATTTTCTGTAATCTTTCTCTCATAGTCCACAGTAACAGAGTGCATTAGCATTGGTGTGTGTGGTTTATATGATGTATGCAATAACCTGAATTATAGTTATAAAAAGGATGTCAGAACAACCCTACACCGTAATATTAGTTATGGAACACTACTGTGAAGCTGTTAAACTTTAGAATGAATTCTAAGACCAGAGTAAAAGCCAAAATGTTCCAAGCCTACAACTGTTCTTTAGAAAGATAAAACCGTGGGCACTCTAATAATGTGATACCAGGCTTTAGCTTTCTATGATTTGATGATACTGGAGCTTAGAGTCTGCATAGAAAACAAAAGATAAGATATAGGATGAAAAAAAAAGACAGCTTTACATCTTCATCGTAAAGCCTCCATACAACACAAATTAACTTAGCCTCACACTCAACCATCGAAAGTCTTGTCTGGATCAGTCAATAAGCATTTGCACTCCACCCTTTAGATACAGCCACTTTACTAAACTCTGTTAGCTATGCTCAGTTTTCCTAACAGGCAAAGCAGCAAAACACATACCTGAATCCCAGGCTCAGTCATGCTCAGATTAACATTCACTAAGGTTTGACCACTTCTTACCATAACACAACCAGGACTAAAGACATCATCAAAAGTGATGGGGTAGTGGCATGGACCACAAACAAGAATCTTACAGCATAAAGGCATATTCCAAACCACTGCCACCTCCTAAAGAAAAAGCACTTTGTTTTAAGGTATAAAATGTGTGTTTAATACCTACTAGAAATCAACAAACAATCATTCTTGGGGGCTATCAACTGCATTAGATGCCAAAAATAAATTACTGCCCTTGAAAACAATAAGAGCTCTTAAATTAACCTAAAATTAAAGAAAATGAAATCCTTTGAGGCATATGAAATAAAAACAGGAAGAATAATTTGCACACCCGTCACCATGCATATTAATGCAAATACATAGGACTCAAACTCACAAAGAAAGCATGCAAATCATGTACATGAATGTAGTGAAAAAGCCAGAGATAAAATACCAGGAGACACTTGGGGGGTAGTAGCGAACAGGAAGACCACGATGTCGGGTGCTGGTAGGAACAGAGGAAAAAGAAAAACAGGTTCACATCCTCACCTCTAAAAAAAGCAAAATGAGAAAAAAAAATAAAAATAAATACCCAGAGTGAAAGAGCAAGCAAATAACCATAGAAACAGAGAGAGAATGCGCAAGCCCCTCTGTTGAGAAAAAGTATGCAAATAAAACATCTCATGACTTGTCACAGTAACATGCCAAATATTCCCTTGCAAGTTCTGCATCATGTTCCACCACACTTCCGCCTAAAGCTTCACCTGCAGCCTCAGGCACACTTTTACCTTGACCCCTTCAACTGCGATTTTTAAGATCAATTGCTAAGAGTCCCCAGATCTGAACACCTAAGAATTAGCAACAAGGTGGTCTCAGTGTTGCTGCCTTAACTGGAATTTGTTTCCACCATTGGTCCAAAGATTGAGTTTACGAACATTCAAGGCACACTCACTTGTTTGACTGCAGGGCCCATTTTTATCGTGTTAGCAGTAGTTTCTGGGCTGGGTATTTTTATATAGTTTACAAAGGTTAACAAATCTTCTCTTTAAGATGCATTTGCACCAAAAGATAATATTAATAGGGCAACTGAAAAAACAGAAAACATGAAGTGGAAACTGTCTGCCGGTGGCTGTTTTGGTAGTAATAATTAACATTATTATTGCCCAAATGTGCTGGTTTTGTTTTCTGGAGCTTTCTGGGCAACTGGATTTTTCTTAGCCTGCCACTATTAGATCCATAGTGAGGTGTGAAATTGTATTCTTCTCCCTCCTCCTCCCCTTTAACATACCAAGAAACTAAACAAAAGATTTAATTATTGGGCCTTCCTCAAAAGGAATCTGATAGAAACTCTGCATGAGAAACTACAGACAGGACCGGCTCTAGGCAGCAGCCAAGCAAGCACGTTCTTGGGGTGGCACATTTCCAGGGGCAGCACACTCATAGGTGCTGACTTTACCCTGCTCTGGTGGGGGCTCACGCCGCCGCCCCTCCTCCCCCCTCCCCCAGGGGTGGAGGGAGGAGAAGCAGAGCGTAGGTGAGTTTGGGTGGGTGAGGGCGGGGAGCTGCCAGTGGGAGCAGAGCACCCACCAATTTTTCCCCAGGGGTGCTCCAGCCCCAGAGCACCCATGGAGTCGGCGCCTATGTGCACATTTCCAGGGGTGGCACATTTCCAGGTGCGGCATTCCGGCCAACAAGGGGGGTAGCCAAAAATTTTTTTGCTTGGGGCGGCAAAAAACCTAGAGCCGGCCCTGACTACAGAGTTGATACAGTGCCATTTTTTTGTGGAAGCATGTAATGATTTGGTTGTCCTATGTCTAAAGTTAGGGGAGTCCATTCAGCATCAGTACCAAAAACCAGAGAGAGCAGCAAAAAATGGGGGAAAACAATACGACTATTCCTAAAATGATCTGAAATTAGAGTCACATTAAAAGGGTTTTTATTCTACTGATTTACTCTTGATCTAAAAAGTCTCTGTCACCACCCAGTGGAAATCAATCCCAACTACAAGACTTTACAGATTAATTGCTTCAGTAGGCACTAACAGCTTCTTGTATTGAATAACAGACATATAACTGGAGTAGAGAGCTTTAAGTGCTCTCTCCGGTGAACAACAGTCTAGTCCTTAATTTCAGCGCAAGCATATACACACTTTGTTCTAATACAGTTTTCAAGCATGGTAAAGGGTCAGAAAAATTATTCAGTTAAAATGACATCTTGGTATTTTGTGTTTATTTAGCATCAGTGACTTTCTCCATCTTATTTGCTCCATTTACAAGTCAAAATGGACTTTTTAAAATGTTACTGATTGTACCGGAAGTTCAAGTTGCTATCAGAAAGTCAGACTACCTTCTTGCTCCACAAAATGCCATCATCAACAAAAGGGGATTCTGTAGTTATAACTTGGATGGCAATTTTGATGATGGAGCATGAGGCAGACGAGAATACACAGTTTGCTTTTCTGTAGCTATGTTAGGTTTGCAGTGCCAATGGTAGCAAAAACTCACTTTATAATTATAAACATTTTTATTTAGAATAAAAATAATGCAATTAATTAAAAATGCTTAGCAGACTCACAGGGTAGTTTTGTGTCAAAGCAAGGTGACTTTTTTATAGTCATTTTCTAGTTATAATCACATTACATTTTATATCACTAATTCTTACACTTTTGAGAAAAATTCTTGTTTGCACTGAAAGATTCAGTTAAAAAAACTGTGACCCACCAGCAGTTGCATCATAATTTCATTTATAGTGATCTAAAAATGTGCAAACTAAAGAGGTCAAGCAATAAAAGATTTTTAAATAGTGCAGAACCAATATATAAAATTGCTGGAAATAACACCATTCCATGCCCTACTATTCTTTTAAACATCAGAAAACACACATCAGACAAGCACTAGAAAAATTATAAGAAACACATGATAGAAATGTATTTTGATTTAGTTGGTTAATAAATAAAGTGCAGTACAAAAATAAAAAAATAGCTACGTTTGTTTTCTCCAAACATATAAGTGAAAAATCCCAAATTCCTCTGAAACAAAAAACAATAAAAGATACGTAGCATTAGAAATAGTAAATCAAGCAGAGTTTCATAATTTTGTTGCCTCATCAGTGTCATAAGATGCATTTCACTGTCTAACATTTACAGCTAATGGCATACATCCTTTGGCAGATTATCACTAAAATATTACATACCTGGCTGCAGAATTCATAGAAAAATATGAAACTGAAAAACAAAACCTGTGAAAAACATGATATTCAAACTTCCCACTAATTTTTCTGCACACAGAAAAGCCAGAAATGTGGGTGCAACTGAGGCAGCCAAACATTAAAGCAAGGGTTACTACACACACAGAGTGTAAAATGACAAAGGCAGATTCTAGGTTTGGAATTTGACAGAAATAGTGGCTATGTAAAATGGAGCAGTGCCTACTAGAGGACCTCAGGAGAAATTCTCAGCTACTGTAAATTGGTGTAGCTCCATTGAAGGCTTTACAGACATGAAGAAATGCGAGATTTGGGTCACAGGATGATTTTTGGGACCACTTTTGTGCTTTGTGGATCACAATATGGATGGTAGGTTGCTGCAAGAGTGGACTTCAGGGTCTTCAAATTTTGAATTCTGACCTGACTGACTTGTTCAGGAACTTTAGATTCAGGATCCAGTTTCCACCCAACTGCCTAAGGTCTACAGAGAAGGTGGAGGCTGGCCTCTTGGAAGCACATTGATTTTGTTACTGATTCTGTGACTAACTGAGAATAGGTGGGAAGTTATTCTCATAATTTAGGAGAATTTCAAAGTATTTTTGAAACTTGGGAAGTAAAGAATCTGTGTTGCGAAGTTGTTGTTGTTTTTTTTTAAACTCAGTGGCATAACTCAATGAGTTACTTCCATTACTCATTGCTCTACAGAGCAAAGTACCCACAGAGTAACAGCCTGTTCCAAAAGGGTCCATCAGGAGGATGGAGATTGGAGTCATGCAGACTTAGAGGTAGTGTGCTTTAGCAGATTTCAGAAGTTGTTTCTTGGCCGTGTACCCCTCACTGCATTGCAATGGCCCCAGGAGATGATGTTTTCTCTTCTGCTAAGACTGTTTGAGGGGATGCACAGGAGAAATCTCAGAAGGGTTGCTTGCCTCTACGTGAGCATTTGTAGTCCTTCTGGTGGCTTGATGAAAGGAGGGGCTTGAAACTATGAGGCATCTTCTGAAGCACTCCACATTCCTAAAGCTTCCACCAGGTTAGCAGAGGCCATCCTGCACAGATTGACTCACGAGAGGATTCTGCCAGATACGCAATCTGCTCTATGAACAATATTCCTGGCTTTGGTGTTTGACATTTCAGTGGGTGCCCTATGCTTTATGGCTAGCTCCATGGCAACTAACTTGATTGTGATCTCATTGTGCTCCTGGAACCTGGATGTTCACACTAAGTATTTAATGGCTTCATCTCAACACACGTAGGAAAACCATTTAAACAAACAAACAAAAAAACCCCAAATACTGACGTTTTTCTGCCTCTTCATCCCCCTGCCCTTCTTCTGAAGAAAGGGAGCTCTTTGGTTCTGAGTTTAAAGCCACACAGGAAGAAACCAAGGGAATGCTGTTCCAGGAGGAAACTTGCATTACTTTAAGTGCTGGGCAAAGTTAATACCTCTTTTGATATTTGACCACAGCCTGCCCAAACAGGGTGTCTGGATTTTCCTGTACTAACAGAGACTGACAGATGGAGAATTCCGCTGAGCTTAATTAGCTCTCTGCTATTTTTGGATGACTGATACAGTCTGATGAAGGCTATAGTTTTATGTTCTTTTTAAATGGTTTTTAGTTCATAACAATTAAAGATGTTATTGTTGCTCAGTGCAAGAATGTAAGAAGGGAAATAGTACTTCTCTCCAATTTTAGTTGAGGAAAAAAAGATAAAACAAACTTTTTCCCCCCCCCGACTCTAATGGATGCTTACATGCCCAGACTAGCTTTTCTATGCATTGCTACCTGGCATATAGTAATTTGACAAGTTTACAAAATTTATTATTTAAAATTTATTTATTTAATTTGACAAGTTTAAAAAATAAATAAATAAATAAAAAGGCTAAAGAGCACGCAAGTAGCTGAATCAGACAGACAAGGTTTGAGCAAGGTTAAATGTCAAGAGAATGCTGAGAGCCTGTAGAAAAATATTATTGCCTGAAGACAGTGATTAGAAAAAACCAAAATGAACATCAGAGTGAAGAAAAACCAAAGGCTTGTGAAATTCACATAAAGAACAAACGAGGCATCAGACTTACTCAGCTAAGGATAACAGGAGACAAATCTGCTAGATTTCCGAGGATTAGGATAAAGGTATTTTATATTTATTTTGTGAAAAAAGCGAGTAATATTTCCACTCACCCCAAACAAAAATATGCCACACATACAGAGAGTTTCCCAGGCTACTAAGGCAGAAATAAAAGAAAATCAAAGTCTCCCCCCCCCCACCATCCAGCAATAAAACACAGTTACCTTTGTTTGCAGTGATCTTACCTAAGTAGCAGCACACCCCATGTTAAAAAATAGTTATTTTTTTCACATCAGTGGTACTTTGGCTACCCAAAAGTAAGAGCAAAAGAAATTCTGAAAACAAACTATTCTTGGCTCAAGAGCCGCACCTTTTAACAAACAAGATCTGCACTGCATCCGATGAAGTGAGCTGTAGCTCACAAAAGCTTATGCTCTAATAAATTTGTTAGTCTCTAAGGTGCCACAAGTCCTCCTTTTCTTTTTACGGATACAGACTAACATGGCTGCTACTCTGAAGATCTGCATTGTCTACTGTGGAGTATAACTTGTATTCCAACTCCATAATTTCTTATGGTAGAGATACATGCCCTGTACCTCCATGGGTTATCATTCCCCAGAGATATTTACTCCTAAATACCAAGCCCCCCTCCCCTTCCTCTGTGATACATCAAACACTCAAATACATGCATCTCCAGTGCACACCTCACTTCCTTAAAGAACATGCCTGCTCCCCTCCCAAGGGAGACCTAGGATTGAACACTTGTCCTATTTCACTACCCTTGGTGAGAACTTGGTATAAACCCAATCCTTCTTTCTGCTTTGAAGTGACACTCCAGGATGAGTGGGCAGCAGCAAGGCCTGAACCGGGGACCTCTGGATGTAAAAGGAAGAGCCCCTACTGCCTGACCTAAAGAACCCAGCTTCTGCAGACAAAGGCTGTAGCCCTGTATAAGGACTAGCCCCTAGAAGGGGGTTAGAGCAACACTGTATAAACGTGGGTTACACACAGAAGAGAAACATGATTTCTATCATGACGAGAAACAGCATAGGGCAGTCTCCCTCAGTCTGACACCTCTCCTTCAGAAGAAGAAAATCAAATGGAAAATGCTTTCACAGATTATTTGACTCCCACTGGAGCATACATCTGATTGGGAAACTTCACTTAATCTCTTTCTCCTCTCAACAGGAATCTGAAAATTGGGAGAGAAGGCCTATCCGACCTGGTTCTTGCTTCCCTCCCTCATCTTGAAGTAAGAGACAATGAACACCAGTGTGTGCATATCTCCTCTATGCTACAAACCCAGGCTCATTCAAGCAGGCCAGGAGGGATGGGGCAGGGGAGGAGAGGTTAATAGGGTTCCCAAAGGGGAGGAATTGTGATCTCCAAAGCAGGGGACTCTCATACTTCTGTCAAAGCCATGGAGCATTGACAGAGGCACCTCTGAGCTGAAGAGCTGTGCTTGGTCCAGCAGAGCAAATACCATACTTGACAGGCTCCCTAACCCAGGAATACTGGATGTGTTGAAACTATTAGGTAAGGACGGACCCTACAACCCACTGCCTAGTTAGCTCACTAAACTGTCCCATCTCATTTGTTGATGGAGAACTAGAGTCCCCCATCCCATCTCCCTGGTCACCAGGATGAGATGAGTTGTGGGGGAAAACAAGTCCCCATTCTCTACCAGTACCCAATCATCCCTTTTCCAGAAGCGCTTCCTCTGCCTCATCAGTGTCCTGGGGATGCCAGGGTAGCGAGACACATACCAAGATGTTCTTGTTCTCGAAGCCTCCCTTGTCCACACTGTTCCCTCTGATCATTCTGTCCCCTGATCTCCACCTCAGACATCTCCAGCTACTTCCATATTCCTGTACACCTCAGGGGAAGTCAGAGTGGGTTCTTGACTCTCTAATATAGAACCATAGAATCGTAGGAGTGGAAGAGACCTTGAGAGGTCATCTAGTTCAGACCCCTGCACTTACGGCAGGACTAAGTATTATCTAGACCATCCCAGGTTTGCCTAACCAGCTTTTAAACATCTCCAATGATGGAGATTCCACAACCTCCCTGGGCAATTTATTCCAATGCTTAAGCACCCTGACAGCTAGGAAGGTTTTCCTAATGTCCAACCTTACTGCCCTTGTTGCTTATCCTATTAATTGTCCTATTAAAACCCTTGGAAATTCTCATTAACAAAAACTTCATTAAGTTTCCCATCCCCCCCAAAATAAACCCTAAACAGCAAGGAAATGCCAAGTTAGGGGACATCTCTTAACACTCATACACCATATTTCCGCTGACAGTAAAAATTCTGCACTTCACAACTCTCTTCTGCTTCCAAAAAATAAACACTAAATATTAATCTTCCTCATAGGATAATGTAAAAACCCATACTTCCCCCACAAATACATAACACACCACACACCTGAATGAGGAACAGGTCCCGTGGAAAAAACAGCGTTAAGATCATGTAACTAAAAACTGTATCATAATGCACATGCAAGTGCAAAGGCCAAATTAATGTTGCTCAGGTACCTTTATTCTGGAATTTCTTAAATTTTGATAAGTTGACTTTATAACGTTATTTTAGCTTAGTTTTGTGTGTGTAATTCCTAGGTTTTTAAAAAAGAAAACTGAAAAAACTCCATCATGTGGCACCATGTTGACATCACCTGGGTCATCAGCAGTTTTGAACCTTAAGATCCACCATACAGACCACTACCACTTGAGTTAATGGAATAACTCACAGCAGTAGTTTGCTGTCATCTTCTGAATTGACCAGCACTAGAAGGGGATGAAAGAGATGCTTGGCCAGTGGGTTTCACAGATTTTTGGTGACAGCAGAAGAATGGTGAGACTAAGGAATCACGGGTTCCATTTCCGGATCTGGAGAGGAGCGTGGTCTAGTGGTCACAGACCTTTCTTCCCATTTCTCCTGTGGTTCCTCATCAGATCTGTCCTCCTTCCCCTTCACCTCCTTCCATTTGCCCCAGTACTTCCCAGTCCCAGATTCCTTGCCCACCCAGTCCCATTCTCCCCCCTAGCTCTCAGCCCTAGTCTCCTTGCCCAGCTAGCCCCAGCTGCCTTCCTCATCATCCTCCAGTCCAAGTCCCCCACCCCACAAGCTCCTTGTCACAAGCTACAAGTCTGGCTCTTATCCCCTCTGCATTCGAGTCAGGCAGCTTCTTTCTCCAAGCTGCCTGGGTGTCAGCAGGAGGAACACAGGAGAGAGACGCTCCCACCTTCTAGTGCTCAGAACTAGCCTATACTGGGGTAAGTAGCACTGCGTGTTATTAAAGCAGTCCAACCCTTTCCATGATAAGCAACACAAAGCAGGGTCTTATAACTTTACTGAACTTTAACATGGAGAATTTCCATGTTGGGTATCTTCCTCCAGCTGAATTTTTGTGGAGAATTTCAGCCAAAACAGTTCAGTATCTGAGACCAAATGTAGGGAAAATACATTTTGCAATGTTAAAAAAAATTCTGGTGACTGTCTTTGGAAAGCTCTAGCTTTCAGAGTACACTTGTGCCATTGTTGCTGAGCACCTAAGCGTGCCCCATCCCAGGGCTAGAGGTGCGAAGCCGGAGTTTCCCGTAATTGCAGCTGCCAGCTGCTCTGGGCTGTGGTGCGTTTGGCCCTGGAACTGAGGTGGGGAGCCTGTTTCTCCTGTGCTCACAATGACCTCTCTTGCTGGCATCCAGGCAATGTGGAGCAAGAAGCCTGACTCAAATGCAGAGGGGACAACAACCAGACTGCATGGGAGAAATAGACTGAACAAATAGGTGGGAGGGGGAAACTGCATGAGGACATTAATAATTCTGTTTTTGGAGCACAGTTGAATAGTGTGCACTAAATAAAGTCCAGGGCCACACAATGAACAAGGATAAAAAATAACAAGTGAGCATGTAATTAAAGACTGTATCACAATGCATATGCGGAAGGAGGCCAAATTAATGTGGTCTGAGCAACCTTAATTCTGGCATTTCCTATTTTTTGAGTGCTTGACTTTACAACCTTAATAATATTCTTTTAACATATTTTTGTGTATAATAAAATTGTATTATTTATAGCTATAGAGAGCTGTAAATCATCATAAGATAATTTGATATTTTTAAAGATGGAGTTTTTGTTTTTTGGTTTGTTTTTTTTAAGGTGAAAGAATATCTACACAGAAAGGAGTGCTCCATTACGCAAATCATACATAGTGCTGAAAGTAACAAACACCCCTTTCCTTCCACTACAGAACATAGAGACAAAGTTTTTGAGGGAAAGGAGGAGGTGAATCAGTTCAAGATCTAGGAAGTCTGACTAGCTAGAAGGCATTCAAAGGGTGTATCTGACTAAAAGGAGGATTTTTTTGTTCTGGTTATATTTCGGGGGAATAGCAGTTTGTGCAGTTGTTAATCTACACAACAATCTAGAACCTTGGACCGAAATCTGTTGGCTTGAAAAGTAAGCATCCCCTGATTTTTATCTTCTTGCTTATAAACATCCCATTTTAAAAGTTCAACTTAATAAAGTTAATTCAACTCAGTTACCTGAACCTAGAAAGATTAAGTGTTTTGCATATATATGCAATAAAGTGCTAACCTTTTTTTTTTTTAAACCACTTTGTAGTGATGAGGAAACAATGTATTCATGGATGTTAATGGCAGGCAATTAACGCTTTACAAGTGCGCAACTATATACTTAATTTGTCCAAAAAAGTTCTTAAGGTACAGATCAGTATGTGTGGTGGAAGTTTCTTACCAGCTGCTGGTAGATCCAACTTTGCTCGTTTCAGTTCAGACATCGAATTTTGGAGCTGCTCTATTACAAAGTCATCTTCTAAGAAGAAATCCTTTGATAGAGTCTCCTGAAGAAATTCTACAAGTTCTTCCATTTGTAATTTCAGCAGATGTTCTAGATTGGAACAAGAACATTATTGTGGACAAATAAGTTTTTATAATAAAAATCCAAAGAAATAGTCTACTACAGAGTTGAAATGCCTTTACAGAGTCTTTTAACAATTTTGCAAATGGAATGAAACACATCTAACTAATTAAACAGAAAAAAAAATCACAGGCAGTTATTTTATACTAGACATTTACTAAGCATGCTATAAAACACACTCACTCATTACCCCTCTAAACATTTTCTCTTTTTTTGTACCCATATATTTCTCTCTCGGTCAGTGTTTGAAACTTTAAAACTAAGGTCCCCTTCAGAAAAATAAAACTAATCACACACCCCTAAAATTCCGATATGACACATTAAAATCAACAGATATTTTTTCATTTATATATCTTCCATCTCCTGCCCCCCCACCTTGGGAAATGGTTCATAATATACTTATCCTCCTTTTAAAACGCTTTGAAGAGCCGTGAAAATTTAAGACATTTAAGGTGCCCTCATTTGCAAATGAGTCAGTACTCATTGAAATGACTGTGGCAGTGTAGAGCAAGAGAGATTGTTTCAGGCTCTCTGCAGATTCAGGTATGTATTGCTGCATCAGTTACATTCAGGTCACATTTTGAAGCTTTATTCTGCAGTCATAACAGCTAAACTCCAACTTTTTCTTTTATATATATAAAAACCAATTCTACTCTTAAAAGTTTTACCAGCATAGCTATGTCAGGTAAGGGGAATGATTTTTATTACGACGTAGCTATACTGGCAAAAGACCTTCTGTAGAAGCAGTTATACTGGCAAAAAATGCTTTTTTTCTGGTATCGCTTATTTTGCTCACCGAATCAGAATAAGCTGTATCAGCAGAAACACTTTTTAGACAGTATAAATGAATCTACACTAGGATGGTTTTGCCTGTGTAGCTATAAAAACAAAACTTTTAAGCACAGACAAGACTGAAAGCTGGGACTCGAGAACAAATGAGAGGTTTGACCATGATGCCTCTTCTCTGCCTCCCAATGTGGTCCATTCGTTGGTGCTTCCCCAATCTTTCCTTCAGGAAAGACCGCTCAAAGGTTATGTCTACACAGCAACTAGACACCCATGGCTGGCTCAGGCTGTGGGGATGTTTCATTGCTTTGTAGACTTCTGGGCTCCGGCTGGAGACTGGGCTCTGGGAGCCTGTGAGGTAGGAGAGTCCCAGAGCTCGGTCTCCCACCTGAGCCTGCAAGTCTACACAGCCTCACAGCTGGAGTCCAATGAACCTGAGTCAGCTACCATGAGCCAGACGCAGGGTTTTTTGTTTTTTGGTTTTTGTTGCTGTGTAGACATACTCCAAGAGTCCTTGATATTTTTACACAGTGAGGTGCTACACTAAACATGTTAAAAGGCTAGTATTAAGGTAAAAAACCTCCAAATGATCACTATTGTTTCTCAGAGGCTTGAGACTGAACACTCTTCACTTAAAACAAACAAAATCAAACCAAAAAAAGGGGGGTGGGACAAGAATTATACTGATTTTGTTTTCAAATAAAGAGGAAGACTGAAATCTGATTCCTACCATTACTTGTTCTTAAGATTCTTGAACATTTTAAGTAGTATAACAATTATAAACATTCTTCATCTTCAAAAATTTTTATGAACAAACTAATAAGCAGCTCCTGAGAGAGATAGTGATGCAGCATCCCCATAGTTAAATGGGGTAAATTACCCAGCGAGATTAAGATAGTAATTCTGCAAAGTCCTCCACATGGACCTCTGCACTCCCATGGAGCCCTGGAGACTTCTTTGATGGGCCTATATGACTTATTCAAGGCCACAAAAGAAGACAGCATTGAAACCATGACTAGAGGTAAAATTTCAGAAGCATCGAAGTGACTTAGGAGCCCAAGACCCATTTTCAAAAGTGACATATGCACTTAGGAGCCTAAGTCTGATTTAAAGTCAATGGGGCTTGGGCTCTTAAGTCATTTCAGAAAATGGGACATGGATGCTTTTGAAAATTTTACCTTGGCAGTATGATGTTCAGGCTCCTAGATCATACGCTCAATATCATTAGACCAACTCTCTCTCAAAAAAAGCCGCAATACGTACAGTCCTTGATTTGTTTGCTTTTAGATTTCAGAACTCCAGTTCAGGTGTTGGCTCCCCTGCTCCCAATATATTCTAATAAAAAATCTACAGCAACCTTATTACTTTTAGGTGTCGGTGATTACTAGTATTTAAAGGGTTTACTCATCAAAATGTAAAGCTTTAACTCATGTCTGTATTTCTTCTTACTGCAAAGTATATGTGAAACAAAAGCTAATAGGAGTACAATTTCAAGATCATGTAATTGAAGACTGTATCATAATGCACAAGCACACAAAGGGACCAAAAATTAATATGGCACAGGGCAATTTTCAATCTGGAATTTCCTAATTTGACTTTGCAATCTTAATAGTGTTCTTTTTAAGGTAGTTGTGTGTGTAATTTTTCTAGTTTTAAAAAAAAACCCTGAAATTAACCCTAATTTAATCATGTGGGATCATATTGACACCCATATCGCTTATGTGCAGGATTTGAACCTGTAGATCCACCCCACAGATCTTTGCCACTTGAGCTAATGGAGTAACAAAGTAGTAGTAGATTGTTGTTATCCTCTGTGTGGACCAGCACTAGAGGAGGATGGGACACTTTAACAGAGGGTTTCAAAGATATTTGTTGACATCAGAGGAATTACACTTATGACACATCAAGGCATGTATCTATGCCATGCCAACAGTCCCCTAGACCACAGTAGTATCAGAAGTAAGTCACTCACCATCCTTATTCGACAGCTAATTTACATGCAAAGATTTCATTGGTTGTATGAGGGAGACTGGCTTTTCGCATACTTCCCTCGTGGCTGAAGGTACCATGTCTTAGATGTTGTCTCTCTCAGTGCATCAACAGCACAGTAATGAACAACCTGTTGTAGCTTATTATCATATTAACCTATGATGAGTAACTGCACGCAGCTAGGAAACTAACATGTTGGTTTGCTTTAGGAAGGCAACTGGGGGTGGAGGGGAGAGAATCTGTTTCAGCTATGATTTTTTTCTAAAACTACGTTTCACACAATTGTTTTCTGCTGCTTACAATAAGGGGAGTTTAATACCTTATATAACAGCCAGAAACACAGAAAGACTGCCTATGTACCAGATTTTTATGTAGCCAATGCACTGAGCCAAGCCAAGCCAAGCAACAGAGTTAAAAGAAAAATTATACAGGTGATTATTTTAGTAGCTGGTAAGGAAAAGAGAAGCAGTATCTACCACAGAGTGGCATTAAGTATAGATGGTCCACCAAAGAGTAGAATTAGGCTTGGATGCATCATGTCATCCCCCATGCCAGCTAAAGGAAACGGCTTCTGGAAAATTGTAGTAGGGAAAAAGCAAAAAACAGGAAAGGGCCAAACTTGAGACTCTTAACCCTCTTTTGATCTAGCAAAACACTACATTAAAGAATTACCAGAACCCAAGTAACTACAATGCTTATTCCCACAATTTTCTAGAGGCTGTGTCATTTACTGAGTAAATACAATTTAAATCCCTTTTTACTATTGTTCAACTGTATAATAATGAGTAATTTACTCTACCAAATAAGACATTTCTTCTCCTGAAAGTCACTTAAGATTTCCTGGCACAATTACCCAAGATATCAGATAATCAGCTTTTCAAGTCCTGCCATGCAATTGAACAATATTCTTTGTCAGTTCCTTGCAGAACAGTAATTCCAGCATCAGCTATATAGCATGATCTAGAAGGTTGTTAATTTGAGGGCATCACAGTCACGCTGTGCTGTGATGAAAGATTATGCAGTCACAAAGGAGAGATCAAAACAGGAGAAAAAAACATTTGCAAATATATTATTTTTAACAATAAAAGCCAAATAGAGGAAATGACTATTTTTAAAAAACAACAGACTACTTAAAAACTAGTCAAATCTTTGTTTAGCATTTAAGTTTATAAGAGATCTCTTACTTCTATGTAGTTTCAGAATTGTGTAAGACATAGCAGTGAGAACTCGCTCTCCTTCAAGTATGTAGATATCCCATATCCTGAGAGTTAATGTAAAGGGAGTCTGCAATGACAGAATTAGCCAGAAATGTCAAAACAGCTTACCCTAACATATGACTAAAAATAGAAATACAAAAATATACAGATACTCACACGATCAAGGAAACACTGAAAAAACCACTTCATTGTGTAAAAGCTAGTGGAAATCTCCTGGGAGTCCTGTAAAAAGCAACAATTTACAAATACTCTATTAAGAACGCTGCAATGTACTGCCGAGCACATAAAGGCCTCCCACTTTTTAACCTGGAGCAATAGCAAAGTACCTTCAGCCCAAAACTTAAGGTGAGCTGTTAGACTAACTCCTGCCCTAAGACTTGCTCACTGTACAATTGAACTTAGCTGCTACTGCTGTCTGGGCATAGCGTTCAGGCATTCTTCACACAAAAGAATTCTATTTCAAACAACGTTGCTTCAGTCCAGGTTTCTCTCTCGTTTATATTTTTCCTTCATCTCCTTTTTCTGAAGAGAGATGTAGATGTTTGAGGATGAATATTAACAGGTACCCCTGGAAACATTAAGTCTTCCACTTATTGTCAAAACAAGTACAGAAGAGAGTGCATGTTTCTTTCATGTTCTGGAGGAGCCAGAGCTCAGTCTGCAGGCCCATTTAATCTTTAACTTCTCTGCTGACAAGGCTGCTAGCAAGGGTGCCTATTAGTGCTAGATGAGGTGGTGATCTTGTGAGGTGGAGATCTATCCACCAGGAAACAGACTAAGATAATCAATTTATTTCACATAGGACCTCAAATCATTAGAATGATAATGAATTTCACTTCTTACTAACAGGGGCTTAGTTTGAACTAGCGGTTTAAGAGATGAAAGGTTTTGTATTCCATTAGTCATCTGCTGTCTTCCCACCATGTACACAGTTTATATTTCTGCATAGCAAATAATTACTTTCCTTCTAAATAGGAAAAAGCTTGCTATGCCTGAAATAACTTTCCGTATCTTGAGTATCAATACAACTAACAGTAACAAGAAGCAAAGAGACATGACATGCTTATACTTTTCTGTAATTGTAAAACAACTGCCATTCCTGTCACTTGCATTAGCACTGTAGCATTAGTTACAATGTGAAAGTCTTGGAGACTAGGCTGCTGTTTGAGTGGTGAGGCAGCCCAGAAATTAAGTGACACTGAATTTGTCTTCTCTGATGACTATGGGATAGCACAATTTTAAATTAAGCCTCCATGCTTGTCACAGTCAGCTATTTCACAAGTTTCGGAAACATAAGTTCTGAATTAATGAGGGACTGACAGTACAAGAATCAATAGTCATCTGGCATATTCACAGGCCATACATGTTTTGCCATTCCTTGCTGTTCTTCATTGCTCGTACAGGTTCAGCAGGGATCATCACAATCTAGTACGTAAACAAATTCAATCTCTTTGTTCAACCAGTGTTACAGCTTTCTCTCTCATTTTAAGGTATATATAATGGAAGTTTCTAAAGAGGTGGAGTATTTGGAAAGATAAAACTACTGATTATTCTCTGGATTCAGGCCTGTGTTAGATCAGTAAAACCAATGGCATAGTTCAGTCTTGCAGTTTTGAGATCTAGAGTAGCGACTGGTTAATTTTATGTCCAATGTTATATTATGTTATAGTCGAGACTCTGTAAACCATAACTTCCATTTGAAAATAATTATTCATAGGTACTATTACTGTAAGAAAGATGTGGCATATCCCCAGTGAGAAATTGTGACAATTAACTTCTAAAAGCATCTGAAACAATCCTAAAAAATAAAGAATTCATTTATAGGATGAGTCATTAAAACAAATGGGCTTGTTTGGCAATTTCCCAGTAAAACAAGGTAAATCAAAAGTCGACCACATGTAAGAAAATATAGTGGGTCAGGTTCTCAGTTGGTGTCAATTGTTGTAGTTCCAATAAAAAAAAATCAACACAGCTAAACTGATTTACTCCAGCACATGGCCTGGTATATATAATTCAAAGAAGATCTAGCAGGTTCTAGTAATGCATGTTTATTGAGATTTCAGATGTTCCTGTTTGCAAGTGGCTGAAAGGTCCCTCAGAAGGTGGGAACTATTAAGACGCTCTAAATAAAGCATGTCTACACTAGAAATACTGCAGCTGACACTCTGTAGATCGTTCTCAAGAGGTTCTGAGGAAGAACTATTCTTGGTTATTAAATATATTATAATGGCTATGGACAATAACATCATATCACCAGAATGACTGACCACCATGAAGTTTTATCATCTAGTCATATCCTATTGCTCTTATTAAATACTATTTTACGTGTTGGTTTACTTTGATTTATTAAAAGCACCTAAGCAAAAACGAAGGGCCGAGAGCATAACCGGCGGCTCTATGCCTCGTAAGCCAAAATCCTCCAAAATTAAAGCAATAAGAAGCTCTGACCTATAGTCCAAAACCTGCATGAACTCTACTGTGAAAACGGAAGCCATAATTTTCATTCCAGAGGCAAGTGAGCTACTGGATCTCTGTTTTCACTACACAGTAGTTTAAAAAAATCGTAAGATATACCCTGTGATTTTGGATTAATCTTTTACTGTAATGAAGAGAACATTTCCAAACTAATATATGTCATAGCATGGCCTGAACAAGACTCAGCACATTGTAAAAAAAAAAAGTTGATTAGATTTCAGTGTATATACTATTAATGTTCAATAGAAACAGATTTAAGTAGTATCTGAGCCAGCTACAGTCATCAGGAAGTTATTCTCGCCATAATGCATGTGTGTTGCATTCCCACTAAAAAGGTTACATGAACATTACTTATTGTTTGGCTTCAATGTGCTCAACATTGTAATGAAAATAACAAACAGTCCCAGCCCAAGGATTTCATAACCGAGAGGTAAACAGAGTGTACACTCTATTTCTTATGCCCAAGTTCTGAAAAAATTTCATTCCTCCTCATTCCTGTCACAGAGGTTACAGTAGTTGCAGTTCCTCGAGATTCGTTCCCCTATGGGTGCTCCACTTCAGATGTGCCTGCTCCCCTCGAGCACTTGATCAGAGATTTTTCTAATAGCCGCATCCTTTTTACCCACTTGGGTCCTATGTATCCTTGTGCTGCACGCTGAGGGTATATAGTCCTCAGTTCCTTCTCCAGCCAAATATCCTAAGAAAACAGTCTGAAGCAGAAGGGAAGGAGGGTGGGTAGTGGAGCACGCATTGGGGGACACATCTTGAAGAACTGTAATTCCTGCAGAAGGTGACCTCTTCTTCTTGAGTAGGATCCCTATGGGTGCTCCACTTCAAGTAGTACTTTGAAGAGGAACATCTTTTTCTGCCTCTTCTTCAATAGGTGTCCTTATGGATGCTCTACTTCAAGTGACACCCAAGCAGGATCCCTACAAAGAGGAGGGAGCTTCAGAATTGAGTCTAGAACTGAAGATAGTACCGCATTAGCAAGTGCCCCATAAGATCTGGCGGCACGGCTCAAAGCAGAGTGCTTAGACAATGTATGTGCTGAAGCCCATGTAGCGGCTGTACTTGAGTATGCTGTGGATGTTGCTTCTCATCTGGTAGTGTGTGCTATCACCCTTTGGGAGGGTTGAGCAGCACCTGTTATCATAACAGGCAACAATACACAAGAGATCCACCTCGACAGTCTCTGAAGAGAGACCGTAAACCACTTGCATTTGTCTGCAATGGAAACAACTGCCTAGGTGACTTCCAAAAGTGTGTGGTCATATGTAGGTAGAAAGCCAATACCTTTCTAACATCTGAGGTAGGCAAACAGGTCTCCCGTTGAGATGTCTGCAGTTTTGGAAAAAAACACTGGTAGATGAATGGACTGCTTAAGATGAAATTCTGATAGTACCGTAGGTAAGAATTTAGGGTGTGGGCGTAAAGAGACCTTGTCCTCGAAGAACACCATAAAGGGGGAATCCGCCATCAAGGCCCCAATTTCTCTGACCCAAGGGGCCAATGTGACAGATGCTAAAAAGGACATTTTCATATATAAGTGGAACAGGTTGCCATTGACTGGTATGCAGGTCTCATGACATATTTAAATACCAGATTGAGGTCCCAAGTCAGAACGGGAACTCTAACATGGGGGTAAAGGTTCCCAAATATTTAATAAATCTTGACAACAGGCTGAGCAAATGGTTCTGGCTAAAAATTCACCACCTGAGATGATGGGCTAAAATTGTTCCCTATGTTCCTGTGGAAAGTATTCAATAAAAGCCAGTTTATAAAATTATATTTGGCCATGATTACCTATAGTTTGTGATCTGAAATTGCAGGGTCATTGACGAGTAAGATTTCCATTCAAAAAGATCTAGACTCTTTTGGTCCTTGTCATACAGTGTAGACTTGGAGTAGCACTGCTTACCCCATTCATTTATTGCATCTATCACCAGGGAGTTAGGTGTGGAGTGGCAGAACAAAAATTTGGAGTCCTTGGGAAGAACATAATATTTTTCATCCTCCCATTTACAAGTTGGTGGAATGGTAGCAGGTGTTTGCTGCACTGTCTTTGGCAGGAACGCCTCATTAACAGGTAACACAACCCTACCGAATGTTGCTGACTTCAAGATTTTAGACCTTGACCTCTTGGAGTCGTATTTGAAGAGTGTCAGGTACCTCTTTATAAGGTCCTCAAATTGCCAGAAATTGTCAGCCAGGGACGGTGGTGGAAGCATGATCACCTTATCTGAAGACAAGGCCACCACTCAAATAAGAGTTTGAATGGTGGCCTTCTTATTCACCCTAGCCCCCTACTCCTCCAACTTCGGTTGGTGGGCTGGTTGGGGAGAAGACTGCAAAAAAACTGCAGAATGAAACTGCAGAAAAACCTGAATGTCTCTGGATTAAGTTTAGAAGAGTGAGCAACAAGGGTGATGTCGTCGTGGGAGTCTGCTATAGACCATCGGACCAGGGGGATGAGGTGGATGAGGCTTTCTTCCGGCAACTAACGGAAGTTACTAGATCGCAGGCCCTGGTTCTTATGGGAGACTTGAATCACCCTGACATCTGCTGGGAGAGCAATACAGCGGTGCACAGACAATCCAGGAAGTTTTTGGAAAGGGTAGGGGACAATTTCCTGGTGCAAGTGCTGAAGGAACCAACTAGGGGCAGAGCTCTTCTTGACCTGCTGCTCACAAACCAGGAAGAATTAGTAGGGGAAGCACAAATGGATGGGAACCTGGGCGGCAGTGACC